CTTAAAGCATTTTGGCAACGCATTCTAAACCTGAAAAAGCAGCGGCTGTACTCCAAGGCTGTCTCAGATATCCGTACTCCGGTTATTTCGAAACATGTGAGCCCGGCGATTCACCTCCGGAAGCTCATTTCAACCGCCTGTACCCGTGGTCGAAGTTATTCGGTCGTAGCCAATGACTAATGATTATTGATGAGCATAGGATGAAGAGCAACTTGAACGCAGACAGCCTAGTATTCACACCCAGCTACGCCTTAGTCACAACGGTTCAGTTCACGCAGGGCGCCGCTAGCGAATACACTTTGCCCGTCGATTTCTTCCTTCCATTTTCCACCACCAATAAATACGACATCTAGATACGTGAGCTCCACCACTTGTTTCTCTACTTCTCTATTTACCTTAAGAGAACAAGTTACAGGAGAACGATAAAACACTAGGTTTTGCGCTTTAGTTGCGTTTCCACACATGTTGTAACGTGGCACTCGGCTGCGAACCTTCATATTGATAACTGTAGATCAATTTCAGAAGATGCCAACAAAACAAAGTGTCTGCAAACAGCAACTTCTCGTCTCCACATCTCCTACACCGATACATTCATCGCCTAGACTGCTCCTGACTATTCTGTCCATGTACAGCGCAAGCGGGAGAGGGACGGGATGCAGCCTTAACGCAGACCAGTGCTAACGCTGAAAGGCTTCGACTTAACGCCATTTGCGCTGATGCAACACCTAATCTCAGAATATAGTGATTGGATGATCATCTATCTCATGTTTGCAATCATGCCCAGTAGATTGTTGCGCGGGATTTCTTTAGATCAACAAATCATATGTACGCCGGATGGGCGGACTCCAACGATTTCTCAACAATCTGGCGATGGCGAATATCTGGTCGGACCAGAAGCGGCACTGCTCTTCTTATATGTTGGAGACAGTTATTCTCCGGCACCTTTTCTTAGCACTTTTGCGTAGACTTTACCCGGGATGCTCAATAAAGTAATGCTGCATATGCTTCCGTGTTGAACGTGGGTACTAAAAGCCATGTTTTTCAGTCCGCTGATGTCTTCCCGATAATCTTTGCAGTTTAACAGACACGTGTAGGCCAGCACATTCCTTGTTCGCCTAATGCTTTAAGCACTTCAGGGAGGGTTTCACCAATTCCAGCCGCCTTTCCTGTTTACAAGCTTTTCACTGCTTGTCTAATTTCATCTGCAGAAATTGTCATATCCGTTACTTGCTGATCTTCAGACGAGCCTTCCTGTGGTTGCTCAGGTTAATAGAGGTCATCATATCACTCTCTCCATCGTCGACGTATGTCATGATCCTTGGTAGTAGGGCGTCCGAACTTGGCCTTCAGGAATCTTAGACTGCCTTTCCTTCCCTATCGGAGGCAGTGGATGGCCTGCCAGAATTTCTTGTTCACTGTCTGGAAGTTCGACTGCAGCACCTCACCGAACTTTTTCCGGGAATCAGCTTTAGCCTTGGCCACTGTTCTCGCTGCCGCCTTGCGTTCTCCTTCGTACTGCATTCGATTCGAAAGCACTTTGCATCAAATTCATTTCTTGTGTGCAGCCTTCTTCCCACTAACAGCTAGTTTAACCTCTCATGTTCGTTTCTGAACTCCAAGCAGCAGGCTAGCCCGTTTTATGCCACAGCTTTAGTGGTCGCAGCCCTTAGTAATCCGCTCTTAACGAGCTTGCACTCTGTTTCCAGATCAGCGAGCCTTACTGACAAATGTTTAAATCATTGTGCGATGTTGTTTGCAAGTCTTGCCTTCCTGTTCTCCGTCGATAATGTTTCTCAATGGGTTTTCTGGTTGTTTCTTCATCCAGATCTTCGCACGATGCTCCATCGTCTACAGCTGAAGGTACCAACATCAAGGCGATGATTTTTGACAGCTCTGCGCCTCTCTTAACTCGAACATCCATTTAAGAGAGTCGTAAGTCAGACAGTACCATTATTAGTCGATCATCAACTTCTGTGCACAAGGCTTCCATGTGGTCGGTATTCTGCTGGACCCTTCGATGTTCGAAGAAAGTGTACGTAGCGAACAGTCCCTTGTTTCCACAACCTCGCGAAAATTTTTGCCGTGTGATCACTTGCTAATCTTGCCTTTCCAGTTTTTATTGTCTGCTGCGACATGCTCACTAAAATCGTCCTTTCGAATAGTAGATACGGTAGCCGGTACTTTGTACAGAACACTTTGTAAATCCTCCAAGAAGGACTCATATTTTCCCTCCATATTCAAAGCGTATGTAGTTTCAGTCGGGGGATTGCCATACTTACATCGCTGACGGACTTCTGCTTAATGATTCTGTCAGCCAGGTTCAGTTCTATCAGACACCGTCACTGGCCTAAGCGCGTGTTGTGATATCGACACGTGAGTAGAATACGTTCTATATGCAGAGTTTCAGAATTCCAGAGCCCTCGCGTTTCGTTGAAGAGAGTCCAACTATATCCAGTCGATACCTTGTGGCCTCATCAGTTAGCTCGGAGCCTTATCTGACGTGCTATAGTGGCTTGTAACTGTTTTGTTTGTGAAGCGCATCTTCATCATCGTCTTTTAGATCGTTGGCAGCCATCACCGTGCTACTATGCTCCTCGTTGCCAGTAAGCTTAGTCAGTATTGATCGCTGATTTTTTCGCAGTTTCCCCCAGTTCTCTTTCAACCTGCGCAATCCTTCGTAACTGGGCGACGATCGAGCCAGTATAACATTTGACAGCGGCAATAAAGTGAGAAACAGGTGGCTGTTATACCGGAAACCTCCCACGATCTCCAGCCCTCGTCTTTTCTCATCAGAACTTTGGACTGGTAATGGCGGAGTTAGCACAGAAGCATGGTGTTGCATTTCCTAGCTGAAAAAAATTAGGAGGAACTTCACAATTTAAGCACAGAATTTAAGCCTCCCGATGATTCGACCCAATGTTTCGAAAGTGCAAAGCTGATCATCTTCAATCTGCGCCACTATCCTGCAAATAATTCAGCCTAACAACAGTAAAAAACTACCAGCTTTTATTTAAACTAGTACCTAGATCCCCTGAAAATCGTAAAGTAGATCCTCAGAAGCAGAACTTGGTAAAAGTCAAATTTTCTCATAGCGGTTAAATATGGGAATTTACGCCTCTTTATTTTCTTGAAGAGCGATTGTTTACTAAATTCTGATCATTGATTCGAAGATCATTGCAAAGGATTCGCAACATTTGTATTTAACACTACATCGTTAGCGCTTCCTTTACATTCCTGATGCTGTAACTTACAGCAGTATTACGCGACATGACGGCAAGCTAGGATTAGCAATATGTCTAGTCCATAGCTTCAATTCACTAATCAGTGCGTGACTTTCCTTTCTTCAGTCATTGCGTTTACAAAGTATGTTTCTGAACGCATGCACACATATCGGAGATGAAATAATTTTGCATCCTGTGAAATGATCGTTTCATTTTTTTGCAATCAGTGCATCATAGCAGCATTTTGACATTGGTGCCATTGGCAGCAATTACGCATGAACTGAATGATAGGTTTTTTGACTTATTCGGAAAGAATTTATCATGCCTGCGCTCTGGCTTTGCTATTTCTTGAATAGGGCAGTAGGAACAAAAGAAGAAATTATTCATCAAGATAAAAACGAATAATCAGTCATTTATAATGCTATCACTGCCTTGAATATTCCGATACTGAGAAAATTAAGGAAGCGTCGCTTTTCAGGGCATGTGTTTCATTCACTCGTCAGATATTCGCGTGCATGGCAAGCTGAAATCTACCAATTGCCTGGTAGACAGTCGATTTGTTCTCAAAATCACAGATTTCGGTCTTGTGTACTTGCACGCTCTCGAAGACAAGGTCTACAATGATGATTCTGATGACTGCTGGAAAAGTAAGATGCCTTGACTTTGCATCTGTCACGGTTAAAGTTATTATGTGGTGTAGGAAAATTGTGGACAGCGCCGGAATTACTGCGTGAAGATAGTCCGCCTGGTACGGGTACCCAGAAAGGTGATGTTTATAGCTTCGGCATTATTCTTCACGAAATGTTTTTCCGCAGAGGGGTGTTCTTTGTCGATGATGATTCGATATCTCCTAAAGGTAATGAGATATGTACTTTGGGGTGTCATTCATTGAGATCTTGACAAAATTTCCAGAAATAGTCGAACTGGTTATGCTTCGACAGCAACCGTCTTATCGACCTATGCTGCTGGATTGCAACATAAGTGAAACTGCTCTCAATCTCATGATTCGTTGTTGGTCAGAGAACCCTCAAGACCGTCCAGATTTTGGGACTATCAGGAAGAACCTACGAATGCTCACAAAGTAGACTGATTATGTTGCTCACTGTTGTACGTAGCTGAGGTTTTCAGAGATTATGTCTCCAATAATATTGTTGACAACTTGCTGAAGCGCATGGAACAGTACGCGAATAATTTGGAATCGCTTGTTCAAGAAAGAACCGCCGATTACTTGCAGGAAAAACAGAAAGCTGAAAATCTGCTATACCAGCTGCTGCCACAGTGAGTGCACGCCTTTTGTGCCATTCTCAGAGCCAGTTGCTCAGCATTAGCGTTTAGGAGTGTTGCGCTACAGTTGATTCAAGGCGAGGCAGTGACCGCAGAAGCGTTTGACTCTGTCACCATCTACTTCAGCGACATTGTCGGCTTTACAGCGATATGTTCTGATAGTACGCCAATGCAGGTATGATGATGGTCTGATATTTACGTTATTTTGAACGCCAGCATTCTGATTTAGGTGGTTAACCTTCTAAACGATCTGTACACGTGTTTCGATTCGATTATCGGCAATTTCGATGTGTACAAGGTAAGAGTTGCAGAAACTGCCTATTTAAACCCTCCTGGAAAAGGGCAGCATTGTACTACCTTACACAGCCAAACGGCGTAAGTCCATGACTTGCCCCTCATGTCTGATCTGTAGGTTTCTGCATATAAAGAACGTTGGAGCTTCATTACATCCTAACACACTTCTAGAACATTAGCCGATTCTTTGTCAAGATAATTGAGCGTGTTTAGGTACTTCGACGCCCTGGTGATATCATTAATAAAAGAAAATATCTTTCATCACTACAATAATTTAGAATGTTACCCTTTAGTTATCGGGTGGACAGTCACAGCATCGAACTACGAAACTATTTTTACTTATCGAACTTTCGAAGGTCGAGAGAAAGAAACCGTTTCTGTCAATCATTTGCAGGCAGGTAAATTTGAACGCTAATTAAATCAGCATTATTTAGAGCTAGATTTGTTTAGTACTTATTGAGATACATTCCTAAAAATCGTCATTATTAGTGTAGGTGCTCTGTTCTTCGATATTGTCTCATGAGATCGTACTAGATTCTGCATATTTTCAAGCAAACTTCGATCATCCGTATTTGATTGGCACGATCGACGATGTTCTTGTCAATCACAGTTCCATTTTCCTATAAACTGTTGGAATTATAACTAGCCTCCGACCGTAACCTCGCCCATACACTTTTCATACAGTTACATGATACTTTTCCCTACTCCGCGCTACTGTTCTTCATGGCGTTCATTACTTTAAAGGATTCCTGAAGTCTATAATTGGTTGTCGATTTTTGCCAGTAGTTACCACAATCGATCCATTAAACGTGCATCGCAGGCAACAGTACTTGAAATAATACTATGAAGCAGGGGTCTGGTGGTTGAATAAATGTTGTATTGTACAGGTAATACACTCGGTTAGGTATTCAAGTTCTCTGGAGTGGAACGATCATCAAGGATGTCGAAAACTTCAAATACCTCGGCTCTGTACTTGCAAGAGATTAAAGCTGTGATATGAAAATAGTGCTGTGCTTTAGGGTTGGTATTTGTGAACTTCGGGCGACTTTCTAAACTGTGGCAAGACCGATCTATACGGACAGCAACAAAGTTCGTCATGATGAAAACCGCCGTCTTTTCTGTCTTGACTTACAGCCTCATGCATTCAACCTTTTGAAGCTTCAAGAAAAGATGCTGAAAACTTCTGCAGCACTGTCTGGGGAACATTCTGAAAGTGCGATAGTTCCACTCAATAAGGAATGAAAAGATCTTGGAGACAACCGGTCTGAGAATGCAATCTGAAGAAATCAGGGTCAGACTTCTGTAGTGGTTTGACAAATCCATCCAGGGAGGGAATCGAGATTTATCTGTGACCACTCCCCGCAGCAAAAGTTAACCATAGGCGCCTCATAGGCCAACATAGCACCCTGAAGCAGTTGCTAGAGGCGGACTTGCTTTCGATGAGGAACATGACTATTGCAGCAACCAGCATCGCCTAAATCATTCTGAGAAGTCAAAGAGTCATATATCATTAAACTGGGTGCTCTGTCCTTGACCCTAATACCCCAGATTACGGTAACACCAGCAAGTTCTTTAAATGACCAGATACATTATCGAGCACTAATAATTCTCTTGGCTGCAAGTTGTTAAATGAAAGAGGTTACATAAAAATATTAAATATGATATTTGGTGATGATTCAATGATACGTTTTTGATTTTGAGTACCTGTCAAAACGTGTGGAGAGAAAGAAAAAAAATTTGGTCCTAGAACAAAGAGCGTTATACCGAAAATCAGTGTTCTGTGAGGCAGCGTTAAACGGGGTATAACTATAGCTTATTGAATGAAACAGATGGTTCTCTCCAATATTTTCTTATCATCAAACTGTACTGAATGCATGCCGGGTGCTGTGCATACTGAACATTTTCTGTAATCATAAACAATCCGTTAAGTTGGTGATTGGCCCGAGACAGCTTCACCAATGCTTCATTTGTAGTTTATTTCAGGGTTCAGGACAGGGGTTAACGGCAACTGTAACAATTGAGAAAACTGCGTTTCGTTTTGTCAGGCATTTCCCTACATAGGACATTGCGCTGTGTTCACAACTGAGACGGGGAGTTAGACTCTGAGAACCTTTTATATGATCTGTTCCATTTACGAAGTCCAGCTTATCTATTTTCATAAAAGTCAATAATAGTCATGTGGTGGAAATGTCAGGACACGTCCTGAACCTTAGATAGGACTTTTAGCAAGTCAACGAATTCCTGTTGTTTCTCAGCTGGAATTGAAAGTACATTGTGATGGCTGCCTCTCTAAAGTAAATTGGTCCTTCATAAGAAAATGTTTGCGCATAGTCTAGGGCTCGAAGCCGTCACTTCTAAGGTGCGAAATAGTCTGTTAGTTTGCTGCGCCACTGCCCTCCCCTTATGCTTGAAGAAATGCAGCAACCCAGTTTTGTTACACTTTGTGCTCATTATCTTACAAACAGTTGGCTACCAAGTGGGCGAAACCGAAGTGCAGTCACATCAGGTGCTCGCATCAGGCAGCTTGTTCGTACTTCTCGCTCATTTTGGTATGACCACACTAGAATATTATGCTGTCCCTGTTTTTCTAAAGTCAGCGACTTGCTATCCGTTTCTCAATTGGTTACACCGGAACAAGATGGTATAAATTCTTTGCTCAATTGAATTCGCGGTTAAGACAAAGGCGTCCTCATCGGTGCTCGAACGCCGCACCTTCTTGTTCTTAGCCAGTCTCTTTTCCACTGTATCATTGTGCCTTCATTCTTTTAGTGTATCCGTCTACAAAGTGGTATAGGTAAACTTTGATCTTGGCTGTTCCTTGGACCTTCTGCCGCTCGGCAGCACAAGTAGTGCTTGCATCGCCTCCTTTCTTGAAGTATTTGCTGCACGTGTCCAAATCATTGTAGGTTTGACTTCTGAATCTAGGAAAAGCGGCTGTTCATCAAAGTTCTCGCAGATGTCTGTATTCCGGACCATGTCGAGACGCGCAAGACCAGCGACTCGTCTCAGAAAGCCCATTTCTGCCGCTTGTACCCGGGTTCAAAATTTTTCAGTCATCGTTCACCACTCATGACCGTAGGTAAGCATGGGGATAAAGATCAACTTGAACACTAAAAGCTTTAGTTTTCAGACTGATCTTCGCTTTAGTTACAATGAATCGGGCTAATTCACGCGGAACGGCACTGGCTACTCCAGTTCACCGGTTCGTCTCTTCCTCAAATTTTTCATCACTAGTAAATACGATTC